AGAACTGTGTATCAACCAATTAACATATTTATGTGTTTAAACACTAAACACGTACAAGTTTTAACTAGATTAATTTGGATAATATTAAATTTCAAAATGTGGCCAAATTATTAATTAATTGCAGCTGTAAAATTGCAACAATCAATGTTATACTTTATAATTTTTTTATTTAACTAGTTCCCATTTTTATTTATGCTTTTTAGATCTCGATGGTGGAAAATAGTCGATGTTCGCAAAATAAGAAAAAGACACCTTAAATCCTCAGTAATCCGTATCAGAGCAAAAATCCGTATTTAAAAATTTCAAAACAAAGATTTCGTCGCTTTTAAGTCTACACAAATTCATATCACACATTGCATTTGTGAAAAAATATACATTACACACATGACAAAAAAAAACTCAATCTATCGTGAATATATGAAAACAAGTACCTTATTTTCATCTAAGTAATTGGGGGTTACCTTAATAAACTCCATAAAACTCAACGATGAAAACCACCATAAATATTTTACTTTAAAGTCAACTTATCGGATCAACGTTTTCGACACTGCCAGTACAACTAGAACGGCGGCCGGATTAAGGAGGGGCGGATTAAGAGGGGTAAGGGAGGGGGTAAAGAGGATTATCTGCTCATGATTGATGAGTTTCTCTATGCATGCTCGCTTAATCCCCAACTGGACCAGTAAACACCCTTCTTCACATCCGCGCCAAACGCCACTACAGCCGTGTATTTGAGACTTTCGGGGATTTGATTGTATTCTAATGACAGGCCAATAATTATTTTAACACCTTTATATTAAGGCTTAAGATATAAAATATTATCGATTAACATGTCTCTCAATGATTTAGGAATTTCGTTTTGGAATAGACATATTTTATATAAAAAAAAAAAAAACACGTAAGTGTTAGGTAGTTACATCACTTTGATTTTAGATGGGTTTGTTACTGAAATAACCGGTGACCCAACAGTCTATTAATAAAACCACTACTGTGTCCTTTTACTGCACTTACGCGACCTATTTGATGGAGGTTTCTGATCCTTTAGGTCTGTATCAGATTTACACCACTTAAAATTTACAAAAAATAACACTATTGTTTTACCCTAAGATTTATACGATGAAGATTTGTACATAGAAAAGTTATAATTCAAGTAAAATACACCCCCCACCCCATATTTTTATTATATACATATTTGGGGGCGTGACATATTTTGTGGATACCTTTGCAGCCGAATTAAGTGTTTTACAACTAGAATTACTTTATTTATATTTATATATTTTAAGAGTGTATCAATACCCCTTTTTACCTTAAATTACCCGTTATTATAGTAATCAAATGCATGGATCAGACAAAACTTGGGACGGTTAGCCATAAGGGACATAAATTGACTGACATGAAGTATATAATATTAGAAGCAGCATTGAGAGTGAACCAAACGCTGCCTAGCATTCTTCGCGCTGACGGTGGCACTGACTCGCTATTACCATTTTTAATTTAATATTAATACGAAAAACAAAAATTATAGGTGTTCAATTGATTTGTTAGGGTGAGAATATTTGTTCGATTATTCTTAAGTACATCATTTTAAGTAAACTTCTTTCCAACGCCCTGTAGCTTACATATTTCTAAAATCACCCGTTGTTGGCCAATCATTGTTGCCTGTCTGAGATTACTTGACACAGCCCAAGCTACAATTAAGTCATCGACCAGTATGTATATAATATAGCGTGTTTAACAAGCGTCAAAACGGTAGTTTATTTCACGCCTCATCTCCTTTCCACTTCTAACGGAGTTAAAGGCTGGAAAATGCGTATCTCTACAGCAATTATAAATATCTAATGGGGCTGGCCACAGTCATGGTCTAGGGGGATAATAAATGGGCTTGTAAAATAATAGAAGTAATACTACTAGCTTGTGTAGCCTACAAAGCACACTCTAGACATGTCTATTCAAAGCTTGGAGTACGTAAATGACGGTAGTTCAATTTAATTCAAACCTAAACCTTTCGATATGAACTACATATTAATCAAACCAAGATGTATCAGCTTGACTTGTGGCAACAAACAGTTTTACTGTCGAACTTCATTAAAGGAAAAGTAAAGGTAAGTATTAAGTACACTGTTTAACGGCCTTCGTCAAATTTGTTATGGGATGGACACGATTCTATGCAGTTAAAGGATCATTCTATGCACATTTCGACACATGAGGCTACCTCAAGGTTTCCTTATATTTCAAAAATTAGAATCTATATTCATTATATTATATAACTTGTTTAAATTTTCAATGTGTATGTATACACAATATTAATCCTAACATAATTATAAAAACATTTCTGCGAAAATTCTATACTCTAATACAAGCGCGTGCACGGACAAACTTTTATTTTCGTCCAATGGTTTTAATGTTTTTGTTTATTATGGGGTATTAAGCAACGCTGGGAAAACCCCAGTGTCCGCCTTACAGCCCTACAGAAAGTGCCCATGTTATCTTCAATACATTTTTGTAGCTGCGGTTAACAATCCATAATTTATATCATTAATATTGACAATTAACTCATATAATATATTTAATGTTGAATTCTCCTGATACTGTAAATAAATCATTTTTATATACTTTTAACAAAATGAATTAAATATTCCTTCAACGTTTTTAATTAACAATTTAAAAACATTAATGGCGAGTTAAAATGCTATCAACCGTGTTTGGGAATTCACCAAATTACTGTGCTAAAAGATAAGTATCAAAATTTAAAAAAAAATCAACAAATTTCGTCGATGTAAAGGCAACATCAAAGACTTAATTTTTAGACTTCAACATCAGCTGATCCTGAGTCTAGGTTGAGGTTGACCTCGGCTCGATGACGTGTCCCGGGATAAAGTTAAGCCCCTGAGAGGGCTGTGGGGGGCGGGGGGGGGGATTATCCGAAAATTAAAACAACTCAGCCCCAAATAATTAATTTGGATCAGATAGGTCTGGTCACAGTATAAGTTTGAATTGTTTCGTTCCTTGCTCTTGGCATAGTTGGTGGTCCTTGTTTATCTTGCAATTCTAGTGACGTTTTTGGTTTTTAGTGTTTTTTTTCCACCGATAGTTGGTTTTCACTAGTTTTATTGCCTGCTTTATTTTTACTGATGTGATTTTTTACTGTAAATAATATTTTGGCACGTTGTACCACGTTTCAAAGTATAAGAAGAACATACAAGTAGGCACGGTAAAACAACACATGCTACAGTATATGCTATTTGTCACTAAAAATAGTATAAAAAGCGATTAATTCGCCCATCCGGAATACACTTTCAAACATTTAATCCTAAAATTTACTTTTTTATATAGCCTAAAAATTAATTTTTAAGTTGTCATCACACTTAAATAAGGGGTTTGAACAAAAACGTTTTATATAGGAAATCAAATATTACATTACCGAATGGTAAGAGGGAAAATGATTTGGGAGATTCGGTGAGTTTTTTTTTTTTTTAATACTAAATTAGAAATGTTAGAAAATCTTATTAACAAAGTGATCAGCTAGTTTTAAAATTTGAGTAACTACTCTGTGATGAGATTGCATTGTCACAATTGAAAGTTTACTGAAATATGTGGAATACAAATAAATTGTATTCAACGATTTATAGGAAAACCAAGACTTAAAAGCTATTATTTTATTTAAATTTATATATCTACAGGGTGTCTCAGAACTCTCTACCAATATTTTAGTGCATTGTTTATGAGTTAGAAACATATCTAATTATCATATTTAAAATGTTGTTAAAGATACGAAATCGATACTTTGCACAAACATTTGTGACAACTAGACAAAGCTATAAAAACATTATGAAAATTTTTCAAATTAATTAAACAAAATGGCAGACATTTAAAATGTTTGTAAAATCAACGGTTGATTTATTGAAAATTCAACAATTTAAATGGCCACCTTTTTGTTTTATGAATTTTAAAAATTGTCATATTTTTTGTAGCTTTGTGTTGTTGTCATAAATGTTTGTGCAAAGTTTCAATTTCGTATCTTTAATTTCTGTTTAGGAAAAAATAATAATTGAAAAAAATCGTGGCTGTGTGAGTAACTAAGGACTTCCGAACAATTTAAATATAATATTTAGATATGTTTCTTACTCAGGAATAATGCACTAAAATATTGGTAGAGAGTTCCGGAACAATCTGTATATAACTGCAGATTTACATTAATAGAGCGACAAGAAGTAATTTTTTTTAATCGGAAGTGAACATTAACACAGAACCGTCACAAGGAGGTGAAGTGGGTAAGAAATGTCGGCAGGATGGTTAGTAGAGCTCTTTTATTCCAAAGCTGGATTAGTCTGGAGAATTAAAGACTGAGCTGAACGGGCTGGGATTATACAGGGGGAGTCGCAATCCGCCAGACAGACAGACAGACACCGTGTCAGTATAGACTGTTGCTACATGTGATGCTGTGCCAGAGTCAGCTGGTGTTTTTGTCAAATGTTTAAAAAGTGTCTTTACTTCATAACCAATTGCATTTATTTACTAAGTTCTGTTATTTAACGAAGTGCATTGTTCAAACGTTTAACATTGAATTTGTATTGAATCCTCAATAATATATTGCCACTCCGTAATATATGGACGGTTGGTATGATGAAATTGATTTTAATCGATTGCAGGCCCGCTTCTCGTCATTTAAAGAATAAACAAACAAATTAAGCTGAATTATCTGTTAATGCATATCAGCATCACTAACTTAAGTAAAAATAGTTACACTGCAAAGCTATACCTCCGTACGCAGTCTAAAATAACATTTATAATTAATGCTGACTAGTTTCCATGTAAGCGTGACATTCTCAGAGCTTACAACGAAATCAGTTGCAGTGTCACTTTTCTTTAGAAGATTTGAACTGCACACGAGGGTAAGAATTTAATTTCTTTGCTTTGAGATTGTTCGCAAATTTAATTTAGAGCGTTTAGCATAGAAGTGTAAGTGTGCAAGCCAATTTCAACTTCAAGAAGATACATACCTCCATTCTTAGCGTCGTCGGTGAGGTGCGGAGGGTAGCCAGGGCCGGAGGCGGTCGTCGGAGGTGTGGAGGCGGTTGGGGGCGGTGGTGGAGGCGGCGGCGCCGGGGAACACCTGATAGAGGCTGGCGACTCAGGTGGCGTTCTGGACTCCCGGTTGGTGATCAGGGCAAGGGCTTGGTTCTGGAAAGAAATCCAAGAAAGTCAGTATGATGGAATATTGGAGTTCTTAGAAGACTTGAGCTGACGTAGACATAAAATGTGTTCACCTAATGGTGTAAGAACAAATCTATACTATTCTGTAAAATCAATTGACCTTAACTTTTAGCAAATTTTCCTTATTTTAAGAACACACTGTGCGAGAATTCTTTTGTGTTAATTTGTTTTAATGCTGGTATGTGATGGTTGTGTTCATTCTTATTTTCTGATTCCAACAACGTCAGTTTCTTCTTGAAATTATACCACCTATTTTACATCTTAGTTTTGGAACTTAAATCGTCTCAGATATTTGAGGCCGGAAATCGGTTATTAGTTTGTGCATGGAAGAATGTGAATGGGGTGAATTTCAGAAGAACCTTCTTTGCTTGATTGTCAAAAGAAATGGCATCGATGGACTCAACGTAGTTTGTTGAACAGAATAGCCAACCAACAGTGTTGAAATTAATTCGGCTAATTTGTCTTCTGATTCAACTAAACTAATTTTTCCCGGTTATTACAACGCACACCAAACCACGTCTTAAGACTTGGGAATCTAAACTTGTAAACTGCAACAATTTTACTATTCATACTCTAGATTTATCCCTACCCATTTCTCTCACACACGCTCCACAACTCACGCGCTTGTCACGATAAAGAAGCAAGAGAATCCACCGGATAACAAGTGCAATAATATTTTTTACACGTTTAAAAACCGATTTAGAAGCCGCCGACGTGAGACCTAGTGGACGGAAGAGTCACAATAAACTGGGAACCAATTCTTAGAAGTTTGTCAACTGTGGGAGTCAACGTTGTATTCAATTAAAGCACAATGGGCGACAGCTGTGGGAAAAGGGTGATCAAGATGTGAACGCTGAACTGTTAGATTTGTAAGTTCGCGTCGGTGACTATGATGAGTGGACGTTCGGACTGGGAACCATTGGGTAAACTATGTCAAGTTAGTGACTTGAGAAATGCCTGACTTCCTGAAGCAATAGAGACAATAAGCAAGATTTGACGAATAATGAATTGTTGGATTGGTTGGTTGACTTCGGTGATAATACAGATTGTCAAAAAAAATGCACAATCGTATCTGCCTTCTTAAGGCATCCATAGGTAATTTTTGAAACTACCATAGGATAGAGGAACTCATAACGTTTTTTTTTTACATGATGTCCGTGTATCAGCTGATTTATTGTTGTCACTCAACGCTTTAAACTTCAAAACATGACCTACAGTAAGGCAGACGTCAACGTGCAAGCAGTGTGTTTAATATCACGTTGAAAAAAATCTAACACAGTGTAATTTTTTTTGTCTGGGGTTTTGTCAAAAACCATGTTTACAAGCCGAAAATCTCCAATGTTGGAGAATTGAAATTTAAAATCAATGTAGCCTTCAGCAACATCACTGATGAAATGCGACATGGAGTGTGGTCAGAGTTAACCGTATTGACGGTCTTTCTGCCATTAATGGAAGCCATGTTGAAATTGTTTAATTAAACTTGTATCCAGAAAAACTTATGTGTGTTAGTTTATATTTAAAAACATTTGTATAGGCCTGTTATTGAAATATTTACACTTCAAGTACGGTACTGCAAAGCTGTTCAGTTTTTTTGGGGACATCCTGTTTGAATGGACTTTTGGGAAGGGAAGGGAATTGCCATGAGGTTTACTATGCTACTATGACTCGTCCTAAAAAGGGCCTAATTTCCCGATGCAATGAGTAAAAATGGATAATGCCAAAATGAGAAACCATTATCCAAGAAATAACAAAGCAGTGTTAAGGTTTGAAATTGTAAAAATGAGTTTTACGAGTCAAAGAACAACCTCTTCCTAGGATAACTGAGCTGCATAACATACATTTCATCGATTCCTGGATCAAATTATGCCTTATGGTTTTTTTGTTAAGTTCGCCCAAAGAATAAGAAGATTGTCAAGATTTAAGAAAAGTCCTTAGAGAATAGCTTCTCTTGATTATTGGTTGAGAAATGTCTATTCAAACGAATATAGATACGATTAAATTGTAACTTCGATGTATGTTTACTAGCGTATTGCTGGTTCATTACTAGATTTTTATTACAAATATCATTAATCTAAAATAACCTGATCACATCCTTATTATAAAGAGAAAGCTATGATAAGATTGCTATATACATGTAAGAATCATTATTATCAAAAAGATGAAAATGATTTTATATTTAGCATTTTCGATCCAAAGGCAATATCAAATAGATCCCTTAAAAAAAATAAATAACAAACAACACAACCTCTTAAAAGAAGTTTTAATATGTGTTGTAAAGAAATAAACAGGTAGTTAGGGGGGTAATTTAGACTATCGATAAAGCGAATGAATCGGTTCCTAAATCGAGGGTTCGGTTAAGTCCACCGGCCCAGGGGGTGGGTCTGACTATAGCAAAACACTTCCCAACAGACCATTAGAGCTGTAATGTGGCATTCCAACTCCAACAGGTAGCTGCTAAGAGGATAGGCGCTGTGCTTGTAGAAGACCCAGCACTTGTCTTACAAATGGTTGATAAAGTGTTACTACAGGGTGTCCACAGAAAATTTGACATTGATTTCCATGACTTTCCATGACTTTCCATGACTATCCATGACCATTTACCATTGATTGCCATGACTCACGAACTTTACTCAAAAACTAACATACACACACGAATGCCTAGACAAGTTATTTCGCAGAAAATACTGAAATATGTATTAACAGAGAATGGAGTACAATAGGTACAAAAATTAACTGATACAAACTCAAAAACTAATACAACTGTAATGAATTGAACGTCTAATTTGTGAAAAATCCTGAAAAATGCTACAATAGTCGGGGTTACGGCCGACTAGAGCATTGAAAGGTCCCCTCAAATCCATCCATCATTGGTGATTTCCATGACTTTTTGCCTATTTCCATGACTATCCCTGACTTTCCAGAATGTGGACACCCTTTTACAGTTCCAAATCTTCGATAAAACACTGTGTTTTGATAAAACTATTAGCAGTAGGCAAATAAAACTTGTTAAAATACAACATAGAGATCTCTACAACGTGGGCATTGCTCTAGATTTATTTTGCCTCGGAAACATGCTTTGGACGGATCCCTCGTTGGAAAGAGAATAGAGTCTTGAATTTTTTTAAACGCGAAATCATGTAGGACCTTTACTACAGGGTAATATAATAAGAGCGAATAAGAGTAAATTTAATATATTCATTACACCCGTCAAAGACTGAGCATAATACATATACGCTTTTAGTGTGCGCACTTTTGTAAAAATATTTACCTAACGAAGTAGCTTTTCAAGCGGGTTAAATCAGATGGATAAAAACAACCATTTTATTTTTATTTTTATTTTTTTGTAAAATAGCTTTATAGTAAAACCTCAGATTGGATTTAGGAGATATTATTTTTTTAAACATTAAAAGCATTTTTGTTATCATTCGTCAGATTTTACAAAAATTATAAAATCAATATTCATAGCTTGAGGAAATTACGTTTAATTAAATTATTTAAATCTGATTGATACAAACTACAAAGATTATTTTAGAAAACCAAACTGAAACGATTATTATTTTAAGGCTAATGTTTTGCAATGTTGAAAATCTTAATATTAAACAACTATGTAACACCCGTCATTTATCCTCAACAATATTTTAGTAAGCTGAGAGAATGTCCAAACACCTATAACAACAAAACCCACTGTAACTTACTATATGCTTTGCAAGTAACAATAATACTTATTGACTATTTCTTCGTCAAATTTTTGTCATGGAACCGGAAAATGTGTGACTTGCTTGTTCATCCAGTGTTGCCATAAATAAAACACTGAACCATGTCAACCTCACCTCGTGTTGCGGAGATTTTATCAGCAGTTGTAACACATTATCTGGCCACTTTATCCTCAACTTGTTTTCTGGATTGAAGAGACAGATTACCGGACGATTGGGTCCACTTAAACCAATACCACTTTCGGCCAATGAAACTTCGATGATAAACAATCGATACACACGTAATCTATACAAATAACGCAAAAGTTCCTTAAATAAATACTTTCAACATTTCCATTCCATATGATAGAGGAACTCATACAGATTGTTTTTCAACATAATGTCCATGTATCAGCTGATCCATTGTTGTTCATTGTTGTTGTGGTTTTGGATTTGTTATTTGTTGATATTGTTTTTAATCTAGAATGTAATTTACGTGTCGATTTAGTTCCAGTCACGAATGCAATAACAGGACTATTTTGAGCAGATAGGCTTTGGATTATAACAAGTATAGCTTTTAGGGCACTAAGAAACTGTAAAGTAAAGGTCCATAATCTACGAGTGAGATTGTAAAAATACAATTTTGTGACCTATGAAGGCCAACGCTATTGGTCTGACTGTTGTAATATGTCAAACCGCTTGTACACTTTTAACATGGTAACCAAACATGGGGTAGCAACAGGACAGTTTTTAAATCACAAAACAAATTGTGGCACTGTAATGTTACTAATATTATGTTGGTTACGGTTTCAACGAAGTAAACATATTAATGGTCAGTATTATAATATCACGGACATTACTCTAAAAGAAAATAATGTTAAACTGTTTGTAAACCTAAAATGCTGACCATAAGTACACATGACAATTCAAGTAAACTATTTTGTACCCACTAGACTGTAAATAAATGTTACTACGATGCCAATTTCAAGATTACCGAAAAAAACACTTACGATCTCTTTTCACACTACACACTACAGAAAGAAGATTGCCTCCAGCATTTTGAGTTTTGAGAAACCAGCGGTTTGCCCGGTCTGACTAAGCCAATTAAGAAAGAGTGAAAATTGGTCGAAGAATGAATGAGTCCAGCAGTCTAGTAGTATTTCTTGTACACCTGTCAGGACTTGTCGGCTATCAGCTTATCACAAGGACTATTAGCACTGAAGAACGCTTGAGGACCCGAAAATACCTTTGGTCGAGTTAGAAACGTATTTCTAC